GACTTTGCCTGCCGGCTTGGGTTGCTCCGGGATCTCCTGAGCCGCCGCCCGCCCGCCGCGCTGCCGGCCCTGCCATGTCGTCGTCCTTCTTCAACCCCAGCTTCGCCTTCAGCTCGCACTTCGACCCGGGTGAGTCGCCGCCGCCGGGCCCACCTGCCCACTGCGGCCTCCTGCGCCCCCACATTAACTCTCTCCCGCCCGGGCAGCCAGGCCGCAGCGCAGGACGCCCCAGGGCCCCAACAGGGCAGGGGTGGGCAGGCCGGGCCAGCTTCCCCATACGGCCACTGCCACTTGGGGACCAGGAGAGGGAGGGGGCCAGGGCCCAGGCCCCCTGGGGCGGTGTAGGGGTGCTGGCTGGGCAGGGACCCAGGCAGGCCGCAGCCTTGGGGCTGGAGGCTTGCAGCCAGGCGCTGGTTCCAGGAGCTGCCTGTCACCAGGAGCCTGGGGGAGTGGGGAGTAAGGGGTGGGGGTGGGGGCAGCGGACAGCCGCTGCTGGACTGAGCTGAAGAAGGGGCCAGGTGGGACCCCAGGTTTCTCCCCATCGGTGCCCAGACCCCCTAGGCAGTGGCAAGGTGGGAGGGGTGCTGTCAGACAGCCTGCAGGAGGCCTAGAGCCAGGCCCCTCCCACAGTGGCGTGTTTACCAGGTGGCAGGCTGGCCAAGGGAGGGGTGGCAGCCCGGGGCGGGCACAGGACCGGTGGGCAGAGGCCTGCGTCCATCGCCTTCAGGCCATGGATGCTTCGCCCACCCTGCCCAGCTCTGGCCCTTCTTGAGACCCCTCTGGAGAGACAGGCAGCAGGGCCTCCCGCCCCCTCACCCCACCCCCAGCTCCGTCATAGACCCGCACAGCACGCCCCGCCCAAACAAAGGCTGTGCCTGTGGCAGCTGGAGCTCCCTGAGGAGCCAGCATGCCAGGGCCCCCTGGCACAGCAGTCTGAAGGCATCTACCCCTGGGGGAGGGGGCTGATGGAGGCCCGCCCCTCCCTTCAGTGACACTTGCTCAAATGTGACTCCCCAGAGACGCCTTCTGGCTGGGAGCACCTGGCGTGGTGAGTGGGCCTCCTGGGAAACAGCACCTGACCAGCCTGGCCCCCTGCGAGGCCCAGACCCAGGCCACCCAAGAGACAGGCTTCTCCATGCTCTCCCTGGCCCGCCCCTGCCTGGAGCACTAAGTCTGTTGGCAGAAGGGCTGGTGGGGGCCAGGCCCTGCTGTCTCTCTCTGCAGAGGCCCAGCCCTGCCCCCTGGCGCTCCATCCCCCACCTCCCAGAGCCGGCTCCTCCGGGGGCCTGGCCAGCAGCTGCGAGGAAGCGTGTGATTACAATGTGTCGGCCTCAAGACTTCAGAGGCTAACCGTGGAGGAGTCTGGGAGGTATCCCGGGGGTCCAGTGGAGGGGCTGCATGTGGAGGCCACCGGCCACTGGCTGCGGGCCTTGAGTGGGCACTGTGGGCCATGACAGCGGGCTGGGGTGGCGGAGGGGAGCCCGGGCCATTCTCCACATGGGTCTGGGGTACCGGCAAGTCTCCTGCACTCCTGCTGAGGCCACCTTCCGAGGCCAGGCCCGTCACCAGAGCCCCTCTGTCCCCTGCCCTCCCTGGGCCCGTTTCCTCACCTGTGAAATGTGATGGTGTGGTGTGGAGGGGAAGCCTGGCGAGTCTGCCTGAGGCAGCAGGGGTGGAGTCTCAGTGGTGACCCCCACCCCCACCCCCTCATGACCAGGGAGGCGTTTTGGCATGTCTCTGTCCTCCAAGTGCACAGAGGTGATCCAGCGGTGGGGGTCTGTTTTGTCTGTGGGGACCCCTTGTGTCTGAGACTGCTCTGGTTTGTGGGTATGGTCACTGAGGCAGGGGTGGTACCAGTTGGTGTGGGTGGGTGGGACAGGTGGTGTTGGAAGGACTACTGTCCTTCACGCGGTAGTGGCCCTGGTGGCCAGTTGGGATGGAGTTTGAGGTTCCGTGGCCACATGCCAGCCTGGACCCTCTGCCTGCCAGCTGCAGGGGCTGAGGGTGTGCAGTGGGTCTGAGCACAGGTGCAGCCCCTTCCAGGTCCGGCTCCCCAAACGCTAGCCTGTCTAGCTGGGGCCGCTGCCCACAGCGAGACTTCCCGTGGGAGTCCAGGGGGGCTGGTTTTGGAGCCAGGCAGTGAGGGCTGACAAGGTACGCAGGCACAGGACCACTGGCTTGGCCCACTCTGGGGGGCTGGAAGGAAGGCTGAGGGTGACTTCCCTGGGCTCCCAGCCTCTGCCAACCAGGAGCGGCCGAGGATCCTGAGCAGCTGGGGCAGGGGTGAGCTGATTCACAGTACTGGGCTCTAGGCTGGAGTCTGCTGTCTGAGACTGCTTCCCCCTGGGACCCTCGCCCTGGGGTGGCCAGAGCGCCGTCCGTCTCCTCTGCAGGGCCCAAAAAGGGAGGTGTGGAGTGTGAGCTGGCAGTGCCACCAAGGCTGCCCTGCAGCACCGTGGAACCCAGGGCAGGGGCTCTTGTGCCAAGTCCATGGTGGTCGGGACAGCTGGACAGACCCCTGCCTGCCCCTCCTCCCAATCCTTGGCCCCCTGTCCAGTCCGAATCGGGGTAGGGGTTGCTCATAAGAGGGGTGCCCAGATCTGAGCCAGTGCCTGCCCGCCTTAAGCTTGATGGATAGATGGACGGACGGGCACCAGCCTCACCCACTTCCCATCTCCAGATTTCCCCATTTGGGCTTCTGCATAGATAGGCCCACTCAGCGCGCAGTTTGTGAGGAAGGAAGGCCTGGTGGTCTGCGTCCTGAAGGAAGACCGCCTTTCCCAGGTTGCTCTGCTCTGTCCCATGGGGTCGCTGTGAGCCAGACGGCTCCTGACCAGCTGTGCGGTCCCCGCGGAGGGTGAGGCCATGGCTCAGCTGTGCTCCGAGGACGTAGCAGGGGGCTTTCTTTGACCACACCCTCCTGGGAGAGTTTTAGCTGAGCCACGCTGTGTCCACACTGTGACTGTCCACCTTTCTCTTCAGCCACCTCAGCCTGCAGTGGCTGCCTGTTCTTGACCCCGAGGCCCTTGGGCACGTTGGAAGGGACCCCCTGACCACTCAGCGCTGTCTTTCGGGGTGCTGTGTAGCCTTTGATCCCTGCGACTGGTCCTGGGTGGGCTGTGGCATTGGGAGCAGCTTGTGTTACCCCCTGTCCCCCGTGCTTTCCAACCCATGCTGCATGGTGCCGGGCGTGTTTTGGCGGAGGAGACCGCTGGCCTGGGCAGTCCAGCCCCACATCCAGCAGCACCATCATGCTGGCAGCTGGCATGGGCCACTTCGGGAGTATTTACACTGCCTGGGAATCGGCAGAGGCTGGGAACTTTTCTCTAGGAAGCCCGCTGCCAACACTGCCCCCGCGCCCCTGGTGCAGGTCATTTGGGCAGGAGGCAGGGGTCCGAGAGGCAGCTCCTGGCCCCCTGAAGAGGACATCCCAAAGAATGACCCTGCCCAGGTCCCTGAGCTGGGCCTCAGCACACCCTGGTTGTCTGGGGGCCTCTGCTGGGGGTGGGGCCAGAGCCCCCATTCCTGCTTGTGTTAAAGCTGTCCCTGGCCTGGGTGGCCTCTCCACAGGTGAGGGTGAGTGATGGGGCTTCCCAGCACCCTGGGGGTCTGGGCAGAAACTCAGAGGCGAGGTGGGGTGGGTGCTGTAGTTTCGCCTCAGGCCTGTCTGACACAGCCTGGCTGCTCGCTGCCCTGTGCCCAGGGGCGTGGCAGCTCCTTGGCCTCTGCACAGCTGGCCCACCGGTGCTCCGCTGCCCCCCCCCCTCGTGATGCTGAGTCAGCCGATCACTGGCCGTCAGACCTGGGGTCCCTTGCTGACCCAGGCAGCAGAGTGGGGGCTGAGCGTGCAGCAGTGGGTGAAGTGGGAAGGTTGGCCGTGTTGAGGGGCGTCATGTGGAACAGGGTCCAGAGAGATGGGGCCTCACTCATCCCCCACTAAGCAGCCCAGGAGGGACAGGGCTCCTGGAAGCCCCCGCACAGCTGAGGCTTGGGGTACGCTGGGTACCTAACTTCACAGTTGACCAGCCTCTGTGAGGACCCCGGTGGCTCTGGGTAATGTGGGGGAGCCGCCTGCCCTGAGTGGGTTGTGTGGCCCCCCAGGAAAAGGGCTCCCTGGCAGGAAGGCCATCTCCTGTCCTGCGGGGAAGGGGTGGGGCGGATGATGGCTCCATGAGACATGACCATGAGGCAGACCCAGGGACCAGCCAGCCTGGCCCAAGTCCCCAGGCCAATGGTCGGAGAGGACCTGGTACTCATGAACACACGTGCACACACGCACAGGCGCACGCACACAGGCGCACACACACTAGCACACATGCACACACAGAAACACATGCGCACACACATGTACACACACGCACACAACATGCACACTTGTACACCTACCAGTGCACACATGCACACTTCCCAGCACCCTGCCCGGGAGGGTTGACCTTCTGGGACAAGGAAGCTCTGACTTCAGTCTGGGAAGGGGCGGTGCACTGTTATTCCTTGAGGTGGGGTCTTCCTGCCTCCAGGGGGGTGTTGGGGGAGGGGAACTGAGGCCCCCCCTACCATCTCTGCCACACCCATGGGGTTGTGAGGGCCTCATTGTCCCCACCTGGAGAAGGGGCCCTGAGTCCCCACCCCTCTCCTCTCTGGGAAGAAGTTCCGGCTCAGGCCCCGGGCAACAGCTTCCTTCCCACTCCCCGCCCCAGGCTGGGGCTGCCTTGGTGGACCCTTCCCCATCACGGGAACCCCAGAGAGAAATGACTATGGCGCCCCTACAGTTCCGACTGGGAACCAGGAAGGGGGCACTCAGAGATGGGGGCATGTTGTCCCAGGGCCCGACCCCTCCTGTGGCTTGGCCTGTCTCCACCCCTCATCACCCAGCTCCTTCCTGTAGGGGTTCCTGTTTGCATCGTCCGCTGGGCGGGCCAGCCTGGGGGCTGTGGGCCCCGTGCCAGGAGTCCTCAGATGCCCGGCCCAGGCCCCGCCCTGCCAGCCGGCTGGGCAGAGGCCCCACAGGCCATGTCTGTTTCCCGGACGGACCCAGGCCCCACAGCTCCTGCCCTGCTGACGACCCCTGTGCCTGGGCCCAGGTGTGCTTGGTGGTCAGCGGGTGTGGGGAAGCTGGGTGGGCACCCCCT